CGGAGACTTGCCACGGTCTCCAACCCTCCTCCTTTCTCATCCGGGCTTGGGACCGGCCATGGCGGAGTCGCTTAAGTTTCAAAAGAATGCAAAAATGCACAGAGATAAAGAAAGATACAGACATAGATATCCACCAGTCTCTATCACCTATATCACTCTGTGTAATCCTCAAATCGCTAAGATGCGTTTTAACTATACTTACTGGAAAATAAGGAAGGCTCGAGCTGAAATTCTTTCAGTATTCTATCCACCGAAATCGTCCTACAAATTGAACTCATTAAATCCATGGACTGACTGAATTACAATAATGCAACAACTGACGTTCATATACTTCACAACATCTTTTTACAGAACCTTCAAAATCTGAAGTTTCAAATAGTACTTTAATGAGAAAGCAGTAACAAAATTTTGTTCTAGTTAATAATCTTAAGTTAAATGTCAGTTTTTAAGTTTCACTTTCAGCTGAGTAGAGATAGAGATGTATGTTTAACACTGATTGCACATTTGCTTGTTTGTGGAATGATAGCACAAAGACATCTTATTGGTCCTTTATGTTTGCAGGTCAGTAGGACTTCCTACTCGCCTCCCGGCCAATTTTACGGGAGGAAAGTACGGTAACCATTTCATACTGAAGGACACTAGCAACAACATTTGTGTCACACCTGAACTTGAACCTGTACACGGGTATAATACAGTCATACGTATGAAGGATTTAGGAATGGAAACATTTCACACCAGTACTCCGTTAATTAATTAATTAACCTCTAACTATGCTACAAAAAAAGGCTCCCAGGTCCATTGCCTGCGGATATCTTAGAGTGAGACAATACAGTCGCTCAGGCAGGCATCACATCCATAACAGCCTTTGATCCATGACGTTTAGACGCAAAAGGTACTGCAGCTGCAAGTCTGACTCTATACAATTGGCAGATGTCGCCTCTCTACATAAGATCATTGATTTATCCTTCACGTCGTCGCCGTGAAGGAACCATAAATTAGAAATATCAAATTCGAAATTCAAACTTTTGACAGAAGTTTGATAATGTGCACATAAAGAATTATCCACTGATATTTAACATGAAGGAATAAAACAAATAGCTGGTACAGACAGACATATGCAAATTATACAGATCAAACTGGCGCCCTACGACTGCGTGTAATCGTCCCATTACGATTGGCGCAGTAAGGTAAAGAGCAGGCTATCGTCAGACTTACCTCGTAATTCCGCAGAGAGCACCTCTGATGATGGCAGCTTGAGTATTCACGAAACTCTCAGTGTACAAGACGCATGGGTCAGCAGGGTCAATGATGGCATGAACGATCAACGGAATCTGCTGATGGATTTCGTTTTTAAGGAAGTCGACCGGAAGCTCATACCGCTTTGATAAGTTTGATATCGAAACCCTTCCCTCGTTTTGAAGCAGTGAGTCCACCTCACGACACAAGTTTTTAAGGTACTCCCTGAATCATAAGACCAGAAGTCAAGCAGAATGCGTCAAACTTAATTAACTTAGTGATAAGCTGTCCGAGACAGATTGTGATATCGTCGTCGCTTTTCAGCAGAAGATCTGCGTGATCTTCTATTTGTTGATATTGAACGCCAAGTGCCAGATGAATATCGGAAAGTGATACTCTCCCTAAAAACAATATGTAAAATAATTAAACATACAGTAACGTGAGGCAAACATAATGCATACCTCCATTGGCAATAATTTCATTTTTAATGAGAGTGACGAGGTAATCGTGGGTAATGTATTCTTTACCATCGCTGGTCGTAACCAAGTCGATGAGACCTGATTCGATTAGCTTGGAAATTAATTCGATGCAATTCCTCTTCGAAAGTCTAAAAACAAGAAAAATATACCAGCAGCAGCAAACCTCACGGAATGCTAACCGCTTCTCATTTCCTCCCAACTGCACTCGACGCAGGTCAGCGGCCAAGGTTTTGATCTCCTCCCAAGTAGCCATGAAGTCTGGAAAAAAGGAAGTAAAAACTAATGCCAAAATGAGTTCTTAATATGAGAAAACTTCACGAATAAAACGGCCAAAGGATCTTGCTTTTCAGCAGAGCTCTTTTTTAATAACTGTTCATACTGGATACAAAAGACGGATTTCCATAAAGATTAATCTTAGCAGTATTTGACTAATTTTTGTTTAATCCTCTTCTGTTGGCACTTTCCGGTTACAGTAACGCAAAGCAAAACTGACTGTTGATTTCATATAAAATGTACATTTAGACAACGCAAAATTCGTCTATGACCAGATTTCACGGCGTACTGCACCATCCGTTGCTCCAAGATGCCCGAAGATGCGGGAGGACAACATTTACACACGCTATAGTATTTTCGCACCTACAGTGTCACATGTATCTCGCATCATTTTGTTCGCTAGTCATCTTGCACCCATTACAAATGATATTCCAGGAGATCGTACCGCATACATATCGAAATACGTTCGTACACCGAAATAAATCAGATAATGCATAACTCCTCCAGGAGAACGTTTCACTAGGTATGGCAATCCCCCCTCGCTCCCAGTTGCCTAGGGGGACATTTAGGCTAAAATGTATTTATTATAAATTAAATTTTCATTCATATGATTTGGGAGACCAGCAATCTTAAATGGCAGTATTCAAGTTTCTAATCCAACCGGTTGCTTCTGATGTAGTATTTTGGACATCAGTTTCCTGTCACTGAATATCCTAGGTGGGCATTTATGGGTTATAGGTCGTATAGTTTGGTTTTCCAGGTAGCAGTCGCAATGCTGATTTTTATTTTCATTCAGTTTTTAGTGATCGTAAAATTACTTCATCAGCCCTTCAGCGCCTTCTTTGGCTCAAGGAAAGATCATATCCACGTGGTGACCATCAGCTTTGCTTGTCTCTGTGTCCCAAAATCACTACGAATCTTTTAAATGCTTTGTTAACGGCTGTTTTACTGCTATCGATCCAGAGAACTAATAGCGTAACATTAAACTGTTGTGCAATACCACATCGGTCGCAATTCTTTTCCTGTGGATCTAAATGAGTTTAACTGGCACGTTCTACGCCAGGAAAAGAATATGCAAAGCTTGCGAACTCCTCATCCCATGTTTAGCAGTAGGCGAGGTTCGAAACTGTTTGGCTGACCCTCGTTCTAACGCATCTCCCGGTATCGACATAGTGTGCCTCTGTTACTGAAACTGTGCCCTGCCCTTTTGTGTGACGTTCTGAACAAGCGCTGTTTATGCCTTTCACTGATTCCTGACGACTGATGCATAGCATACACTGTTCCAATGCCGAAAAGAAAAAAGGTGCTAAAACAAAATGGCTTTATGCATTCCGTCCAACTGCAATGACCACAATCCTCCCTAAATGTTTCGAGCTGTTAATTTTGCCAGTCACAGAAGGTAAAACTGCTTTCGCAACAAAACCTCATCAATTCACATAATGGGGACAGAAGATGCAAAAGATGCAACTGCCTCTGTAACTCATGCAGTTGGCAGAGTCCAATAAAGAACAATGAACTTTGCCGTTACACGTTCACTGACCTAACCTAGGAGCTGAATATGATTACCTGCAACAAGATGTTATGCACTCTGAACAGAGTAGCTGTCAACCGTTCAACCGTCCAAAGACTGGTAAATAATCTCTCTTGCTGTCTGTCAACCTCAGTGGACAGAAATCCTGTCTCATGGAGAACAATCTCTGTGTTGTGCAGGGATCTGTCCTATCAGCCACACAGTTCGACATTTACAACAACGACTGCATTACCGACCTCCGTCTTCAGTGTTTAACGTATGCTGATAATACTGTCGTAGCGGGTTATCTAAAGTCACCTCTGGACTTGAAAACGTATGTGAACGGTATGAGATTTCCAATACCTTTCAAACAACGAGCTCCACTTCGGCTGAACCCTTACAAAATATCTGAAAGGATTTGCAACATAGGCAGTGACAAGAATGAATAACTACTAGACCAATTATTCAGGTCACTTACTCTCTTTGATGAGATTGTACCTGGCAGTGAAAATATTAAATACCTGGGTACCATTCTGTCCTCCGACTTTCTTGGCATGGATAAGTGAATTCAGTATCGGCTCGTACTTGCCACGCATAATTCTTCATCCAAAGATTGAGGAACCTCCATGCTCCTCTTGTTGCCATGAAATGCTTTGTCTGTCCATGCGTAATTCTAACATATATTTTTATACCGCTGCGATTAGAAAATTCTGAAACGTTCTCTCAAAATAGTCTCCAGATGCAGTGGTCTTTCATTAAACAACTTAAAAGTGAAAGTTAGTGATCATGGGGTAATCCATGAAATTCGGATGTGCAATAATATCCTCGCAAAAGTACTCATTTCCTACATAATGATCTTGCAGGCAGGATGTCGCCCTTCCACAAGGTCTCGTTTCGTACGCCAGAACAGAGCTTCACCGCAAATCAATCGCCCCAGCCTCAGCACAGATTTTCCGAAGTACATAAGAAAATTTATGTAGGCATGCTTCATGTTTATTAATTGTTCTTGCTTCTTCACTGTATATCAAATGACGATTTGCTCTATATTGTTTATATGACTCTAGTCTTTCACTCTGAGCTACTTATGTAATCTGTCTTCTCTCTTTCTTCTCTCCTTCGATACGTTTGTCTTTTTTTACGATGAAAAATACTATTCATTGATTATGACATTTAAACAGTAAAGCTTCAATTCAATTCAACATAAAAACCGAAACTACTTCAAAGAATAGATGACAATCTGTCGTTAAGAGAAATCATACCTACACAAACTTTATGCAAAATCAGCTGTCAGGAAAACCAGTTTCCAGTATAAAAGCGACTAAGATCAAATTTGAAAGCAAGTACAGGTCAAATTCAAACTAAACGGTATATACCTGTTTTCTAATTTCAAGATAAACTTATTAAACTACAAAACGTAAATCGCTTGAATAATTCCTAAGGCTGATACCAATATCACGTCGCAGATGCGTTGAAGGTGGTGGGTTTTTTTGATTCCATGGTTGGCAGCACGAAACAAAAGACATAAGCTTCATTTATAAACGTTCAGACGTTTCCATCTAATTGATATCAGTCCTCATCAACGCATGATCATCATTCCCAATTTAGTCGAAACATTGGAATTCTTGTAAATGAAATCCAGTTCTTGTTTCGAGGCTGCCAGTCATGGAACGAAAAGTCCTATCACTCTCAAGTCGCTTAAGATAATGGTAAACGTTAGAAAATAACAAATTATCAGTTAACTGCAGCAATCTGTTTCAAAACAAATCGGTAAAATAAACTCAGCGTACATGAACATACATATAAATAGGCATATAAAACTTTCAGGATCGTGTCCACGTGCTACAGTTTCCTCACGTACATACAACCTAATGATCAGCAGATTCATGAACTATACGATTAAACGTGGTATCTGGAAGAATTTTCTCTTCGACTCCAGCCATCTGGTAGAGGCATTTTTATTCCACTTATTCATCAAAGCAATTATCTACAAAATCAATGGCAACTATGCAGCTGCTTTGCATGATAATTATTTTTTAGTGGAATAATAGAGGCTCCCCGTGCACTTCTCTGATGCTCGAGTCGCAGTTTTTACCATCGTTAAGTACAACGACACTCTTTTACACAACAACGATGTTTATTCTGAAACAGCAGTAGCTATATGTGCACAAACATCAAACAGATTTACGCTGGATGCCGCTTATAATCGTTTTCAGTACCAACGACCTGTCTTCTGGACATGCAATTCGTTTTGGATCATAAATAGCTTTCCGCGGTACCTTTGACGGCTAGCAAAGTCCGAAGCACCCATTTATCTAACTGATATTCCGCAGTCAGTTGGCGTCCCGCACTTTATTAGACATTCCAGGGGTGGATACAACATTGTCTACTGTAGTCTGCAGATTTCAAATGCTAGGATAGAATCCGACCATTTCTTTGAACCGCCGCCTGGATGGCTGGCTATTTAGGAGCCGAGATTACAATTAATTACGGTTTTCAATTTTTACTAATGCACAGTCACATATTAAACGAGTGAAGGCGCATTGCACTCATAGATCACAAACGTCCAAAAGCATGGCAATCAGTTTCGGATTTTGCCTGAATATTTTGCGCTATGATTATGACCAGTGTTCAAAGTAGTAGTTCTTCTTCAAGATCTTACAATGTGATTTCTACACTGGTTTTCGCTCCAAGTTACGAGTATTAAATTATTTAAAACAAAGTTAAATGAGTGCAAATTGTCAAACCACGAATGTTGATGGTTGTCGTTTTCTTCTGATTTCATAGTTGTGACTGCGCGAGATCGCTCACTCATCACGGTGTCATTTGATCGCGAGTCGGAGTTAATACAACAGTAGGAGATCATCTGTATCAATTTCCTGATTTAACGATATATATCGCTCAAAACCCCTGTGTGCGCTGAATATGAAACTTTTGTCATTAGTATCAATTTCAAAATTGGCATTTCGTGTGAGGATTTCAGTGACAGTTTTAAATCAGTATTTTTGAACGTTAACATTAATAATCGCGAATTTGAATTTATAGAATGTTCGGAAGCATTGATATTGTATTCGATATCAGAAAGGTCTCTCTCTAAACATAATACGTAATTTTTGTCGAAACATTGAGTTTCTAAGTTTTGTTCAGTGATTGCACGGTGTTGATCACGAGGACATCATAATTCAGGAACCTACTTGCTAGTTGAATCTATGTAATTGATTGATGGACAGAAATATGAGATACTTGATTAGTCCATCATTCATCCACTATTGGCTTGTCCAACTTGTAAATTTGAAAAATTCCATTCTATTTTATGAATTCATCTTAGTGGGCTAATTCAGGTCAGGAAATCGGTGGACAATCATTTGCCCGAGAGGAATTTTGGTCTAATTATTTGATTCTGTGCAACCTCCTGAAACCATGCAGCCAATGGGATGCCACCACTGCGACTTCAGTATACTGCTAACATTAAGTTCATACTACATTCTTCACGGATACGGGCCTCACCAGTCAGAGAGAACACCTATGATGAGAATTCTGCTTTTGAAATGCGATCAGAAAAAATTTTCGTTTGAGAATTATTGTTACGTGATCGACAGGAAGAGAGATGACGAACAATGAAGTGTTAGCACTGTGAGCAAAAGAATCATTATAAGGCATTGACTCACATGGCAGCTTACGATGGTTACAATGAAATTTGATGCGCATTCTAATGACAGTTCGGCTGCTGATGTGTAGGTAGCCGAACATGTCAACAGAAGTTACAGGCGTGCTGAAAAACGTGTGGAAGGCACCGTATAAGTCATGAGTGACTGCACCGTTGAAAAAAATCGTCATGAGAAGTTGGAATGAAATAGAAATATGTTATTAGCTCCGCTGAAATTAGATACGTTGATTCTGCTGGAATCGTATCCAAGATACGATCTGCAACCAGGTTCTTTTAAACAGTTCTGATTGATGATAGTGGAACTAATAATCGAATACTGATATCTGGCACCCATGGAAACCTGTAGATCCTGAGGGAATCGAGAACGAGCTACTCGCAGAGATCTTTTCATTGATAAGCAATATGAAAGGTGAAGTCAAATCATTGATAAAGACGACTGTCTGCCAATGACATAAATGTAAACTCCTGTAGGACCAGTCACTGACACCAAACAAAGGTCTGCGCCAAACGTCCCATCCGTACCGTCTAACAGGTATCTAATGTCTAGAATGGGTCAACTGAAAGCTGAAGAGAAAATGGAGAACGTGTATGCTATGTT